CCGAACTCCCCAAAACCCCAAAACCCCAAAACCCCGCTTTTAAGAAGTAGCATTGCAAACTCTTGCTATATAATTAAAAATAACTCCAAGATGATAACTCCAAAAACAGAAGTTAGTAAAGAGAATGAAGAGATTAAGTATCCTGCAATAGTATTTCCAAGACCATCATATTCATGATTTCAGCCTTATATCCTTAATAAGTCTGAGAAGAATGAGTCATCAAGTTCTGTGCTTGTCTCATCAGATCTTAGTTTAGCTTCTATTCCTCAGAAACCTAAAAGGACAAGAAGAAGGTAAGATTTGGCATATTTTACCTTCTTTGTTTTATGAAATATCTTCAAGAATTTACTCAAAAATTCTCCGTTCATAACATTGTCAACTTATTTAGGAGGAGACTTTCCTGAGAAAGAGATCTCTCACCAGAGACCTTCAGAAAGACAAGAAATAAGCGCCTTGCGAAAGAATCTAGAGCCAGGAAAGGCAACTATGTCAAAACACTAGAGAATAAAGTTCAGGAGCTAGAGCAAAGAGTTGTAATGCTGAATGAGAAATTGGAGAATTTCAAGAAGAAAATCTCTTACCTTGAGATTGGGGATAAGAGAGGATATCACAATATTACCGAAGCTCAGGATTATTGGCATAACCAGCTGTCAGATGCCTTGACTAATCCACAGACTTCACCAGACCATTTGAAGGATATCGTTGAGTATTTCTTAAATACTCTTGGTGTAGCCGGATCTGATAGGAAGAAAGTCATCAAAAATGCAATTAGAGTGATAATCGATAATCTGCTTCCAGAGACAGTAAAGGTAGGAATTATCTAATCAAAATTTACAAAAACTTCATTTCTTATTTCTAGTCAAAATTTGGTGAGTGGGAAGATTTGTTCTAACTTCAATTCTAACTTTATGCAGACTTTAATTTACTGAAACAAGAAAGATCCAATTGCAAATGATAAGCAACTAGATTCGTTAAGAGTAGCTTCTAAGTACAAGTATGAAGAGATGATGGCTGATAATGGATTTGGAATCGTAGAAGAGTGATTGACAAAAGCTAACATTAACAAAGAACAAAGGCCAATCATTAAAAACTATTGTAGACATCTTACTGAAGTGAGACACTACTACCAAGATATTGTGAACTCTACACTTGCTTTGAGAAAGAAAATATTTGTAGGAATGAAGAAATTTGAAAAGATTACTGCCGAACTTTATAAGCGACTAGGTATTGTGTTAAAATTTAATTACCATTATAATTTGACCAATCATAATTTTCTAGACATCAAACAGCTTGGCCAGTTTATTATTACATCAAGGAATATCAGAACATCACATCAAATTGACATATTTTCATGCTGGGACATCAAAAAAGTAAAAACTCCTTTACCACCAACTTTGAGGCAGTTCCAAGGCTTTAACGCGGATCTCAATTTTTTTTTCAATTAATTCAAAATAACATACTTAACCATGAGCAAAGCTCACCAAGATACCATCACTTCTTATGTTCTAAGCTATTTGTACTAGGACTCTCTTAATAGCATTTATAGATGAAAAGAGGGGGAAATTCAGGTACCATCCAATGTCTTTAGCATTAGCCAATAATCTTTTGAGTTTGTAAAAATGACCTAACAAGCATATTCTTTATAAGGAAGGTAGCTTATGCCATATAGAAGAAATCTCAGAATATGGACTGACAGATTATGACTCAGATGGTGTTAAGTCTTAACTAACTCCTTGTTGTGTAACAAAACTCCAAAAATGTTGTATACTTTAGCATTATTGATGTTGAAATTTTTGTATAGAAGTTATTTTTAGATTCCATACACCTTGAGGTCAATATCATATAGTATTTTGGGGTTTTGGGGTTTTGGGGTTTTGGGGTTTTGGGG